AAAAAGACATGTTTTTATAGCAAACCTCCTCCTATGACACTGCGTTTAGATTCTGTGGAAAGAAACAATTCAGCAGAACCAACAGAGACAGATACTATTTTTTTTTTCAAGTCACACCATAAAAAGTACCAATTAAAGTTTTTTCTTACCTGCTACATTTTACATGAAACTCTAAAAAAAGGAAGGAAAAGCATTGATTTTCCCCACACTTCCCACCAGTTGAGTTTGGCCTTAATGAGAAGAAGCAATTTCACATACATTTCAAAGGTGATTCCAACCTTACAGTCTAATCTAAAATCTTTTCCAGAATTATTACATCCACGGGCTGCCAGTCAGACCTCATTGTATGAGAAATGAGAGTATTTTGAGTTTTCTTATTGTCTTCTTACCTCCAGCCTCTAAAAGAGCAGCTTGCACATATGGAGGATGATATATTATGTGCAATAATGGAGTTAAAGAGACCAAAGAGAAAGTTCTTTCCAAATGTTTTTCAGGCCAACTATGCTGTACGTTAGCTAGAGTGCTAACAATATTCCACACTCGTTAAAGATAAAGTAGGCTTTTCAACGGCGCTATCTTTGCCTGTTCGTTCCCCTTCTCTCTAGGGTCTCTGACCATAAGGGGCCCTAGCAGCCATCTATCACCCTAAATTATAGGACAATCAGTCCTATAAATTATGAGGGGAGTGTCTGTCTATGGTGATCTACCAATGGGGAAGCCTGTAAGATTGGCGGTTAAGACTCCATGAGAAATTGTGACAGATTGATTTCTTGCTTCCATGAATATGGAATTTGCTGTAGAAACTAATATTCTTAATCTATGAGTCCTCCTATAAGCTATCACCTAAGGGTCTTCCTACTAGAAGACCCTTACTACCACTTCCACGAAGGATATTTACATGCTGTTATCAGACTTCTCCAAGGTCTACCTACTAGTATGCATTTCTATAAAATAGTCACATTTGCTACATTTTTGAGAGTTGGTGCTGATGATCGAGGTACAATCTGGAAAAGACGTGGTTACATCTGTAAAGTGACAGAGGTACATGAAGGAAATACATAGGAAGTGGGAACCAAGCCAAAATTAAGGCAGCCTCTGCTACTCGCCACCCTTGTGCATTCAAACATCAACCTCTTTCCCATAGGTATAAAACGTGCACGTGTGCACACACACATAAGCGTGTCCTCTCGTACCCTAGAACGGAGGGGGAAATACATCTAAGCCTGCTTAAGTAATAATGAATACAAGAGCCTGAAGTGGACGCAATAGTAGGGGCAGGAGACTAAAGCTTACTTCAATCATGTATAGCATGAGACGGCCCTGTTCTACAGGTCAGGTTCAAGGTGACACTTCCTGCTATCAGTGTGTCACTGTGACAGCAGATGGAGTAAGAATCTTCGGGACTCTGTTCTCAAGTGCAGCTGATAAAGGATATGAGAATGAGGTGCCAGCTTCATAAAGCTCAGTGACCAAGGAAACTGCTTCCTGGAAAAGGGCAAGAAATGGGGGTCCTGAGACTGCCAAGGGCCACAAATGGTTAGCAGGTGTCTCTCTGTCCTCTGCCTGAGCATCTCGCCATCTGCCCCTCACCCTGCCTCCTCTGGCATCTTCTCATCCTTTTCCATAATGACTGAATGACAGAAGGTTCCATTCTTAGAAGTGAATTCAAGCACAACAGTCTCTTCCTTGGTCTCTGCTCAGGGACCTCTTCTGAGACCACTGCCTGCCAATGATCTTTTTAAATTGAAACCATGATTTCCTCTGTTTTCCATTTTGGTTAAACCTTTTAAAATCATGGTCCTTTGTTTCTCTTGTGGTGCAGAGAAAGACAGACATAATCTAGCTCCTCATTTTCTCTGCCTCAGATGCTGTGTGAAACATACACTTAAAAACAACAAGTATCTGAAGAAAGTCTAATGACACAGAGCAGGAAGAGATAAGGTCAATACCTTTGGGGATTATTCTATAAAACTCCCCAGATAGCTTTGGAGCATTGATCAGATCCTACGGCTTCAACCAAAAAGCAAAATCAGTAAGGAGTTTAGTACAACGTAGTGATCAATAGGAACACAGAGGAGGTAGGTAGATAAGTGACCATAAAATATAATTCCTCTTTTGTGCTGAAAAGAGTCAAGGGCTTTTCCTATTACTCAAATGCTCACAGATATTGTAAGTCAATTTATAATATGTTATTTATTCCTTTGGTGTTCCAGGGAATCACAAACACTGGTGCCAGAAGGAAATAAAAAATATATATAAGCAAAAATATATTTTTATTGCAATGATGAACAACAGGGTTGTTTGAATAAGCTTTGAATTCATGCATGTGTTTCAATCTATCACCTCTAAAGCATACATAACAATGACAAAAGACGAGCAGACTGAGGATGGAATCACAAACACTGGTGCCAGAAGGAAATAAAAAATATATATAAGCAAAAATATATTTTTATTGCAATGATGAACAACAGGGTTGTTTGAATAAGCTTTGAATTCATGCATGTGTTTCAATCTATCACCTCTAAAGCATACATAACAATGACAAAAGACGAGCCAAGACTGAGGATAAGGTGGTATCTTTTTTTTTTTTTTTGGTTTTTTGAGACAGGTTGTCACTATGTAGTTGAGACTGACCTGGAACTCACTATGTAGCCCAGGATGGTCTTGAACTCACAGCAATCATCCTGCCTCAGCCTCCCGAGTGCTGGGAATACAGGCGTGCGCCACCACGCCTGGCCCATTTTCTTATAATGGGAAGAAAAATGCCTGCAGATTCAAGTTTCCTTCAGCTTAAAAAAATAGGAATTTTATGGTGCTCAATCTAAATATTGTGGCCTTGTAATTTCAGGAGTTTATAGATATCCTGGGCTTCAGAATCCCAGTCAGTTGTTGCCAGGACTTTCAAAGAGGCAGTATAGGAATGAGTGGAATATGTTGTATCTCCCTAGTTTCAAGGACTCAAAAAGTCCTTCTAAAGAGATTAAAAAAAAAACTCTACTTTTCCTCATCACTGGCAAGGCTATAATTAGGCTAGGGTCACCAGACTCTGCCACAGGACACCCAAATTTAGAGAGCACAACTTTAAGCAAAATAATTTAAGGCAGTGTAAAATTTTCAGCTTCTCAGCAAATTTCCATACCACCCCCCCCAGTCTCAGTGTCACTAGCTCAACCTGAAAACTGAGACAGCTTCTGTGGAAGGGAAGACACAGATAGTCCTGGAAGGCCAAGGGTAAGGGTAGAGTCTGCTCAGACCCTCTGAATGCTACAGCTTGGGGATGGGCTGGTTCCTCCCCTCCACTTGCCTCACCCTCTCTGAGCATGCTACGGTGCCACCTTGTGAAAATGGCTAAGTTATATTCACTGCTGACTGCACTATACACACTGATAAGAGGCTACAGGGGGCCTTGAAATTCACTTTCATCTCTGATGTGCACTTGCTTAAAAGGCATATAACCCAGGAGTAGATCTCTGTACTGGGAACATAAGGAAATAAAAAGTGTAGAATTACTCTTAGTCCTTATTCCTCAGCATTCTTGTCAAGTTTCCACAAAGGTCTCACAGCTACTGATCTTTGGAACTCTATAAACAAAGAGTAAACATTACCTGGTTCTGGTGGGAAAGTATTTACACAACACAATTAACATTTGCTCAAGTTTTCAGTGGACTGGCCTCATTTTGCCTCCTTGGATTCTGCGGGGGAAACAAATCTCTTAAGATTTGTCCTTTAAAAAATATCACAAAGTTGATATCTTCAGACACAGATGTTACAGACACAGGGATTTAGCTCAGTGGTGCCGCCTCCTGCCTCACAAGCGCAAGGTCCCGAGTTTGATCCCCGGTACCAAAACAAAAACAAAAACAACAAAAAAAAAACTACACATGGCTGGCTGTCCAAAGAAATGGGAGGTTGTACATAATAAAGTTATAAAACTATCCTAGCTACCAAAGAGAAGTGTTACTGATAGTGTTTTCATTTTGGGTCATCTGTAGCACCCTGGTAAAGCTTTTTGACAAATCTAAGAACATTTGTGGCATATTTAGAATCCCAGATTTCTTCAGTTATTTTCCATATTAAGCCACAATGTCCAGACTTCTACAGGGATAAGTTATATTTAGTCTAAACAAAATTTTAGCCAAAAGTGGGGGGGTGTGAGACATCACAAAGTCAAACAAAGGATATTGTCTGAACATCTGCCACTTCGGATCATTCACTTCCTACCCTGGTTAAAATAGCTAAAAAGTGAACTAAACAGAGACAAAATCCAAGTGAGCACTGTCCCAGCTTCTTGTGTTAGAATTATGCAGTGTAGATGCACAATTTCATGTAAACTTTTTAGTAAAAATATTCTGTATAAAGCACACATGTCCATGAGTCTTCTTTCATATAAAGTCTTTCATATAAAATGTTACTTTTTAACTTATGGAATGACTTAATCCTTCACTCAATTTTACAGAGGTGTGATTAAAATTAACAGAGACTGTCCTTCTGATCTTTAAAATCAAAGCAATTCTCAAAATGGTGGTAATAAAAATTAAAAGTCCTATCAGAATGTTCACTTCTACTCTACCTATCCTTCCCTTTGACCCCACAGAACAACTTAATTTAAAAATTTTAAAAAATTAGTATGATGGTAGAAAAGCACTCCCTCTCTCACAGGTGCACTGAAAGTGATTAAACGTCTTCTCACCCAGTGTGTCTACCATAACCCAAATGTCTTCTGAGCTGAGTCTTTTTTTTTTTTTTTTTT